GATTTGAAAATGTGTAAAAGTCGTCGAAAAAATAAAAAAACAAAAAAATCTCGCTTTCTATTTACGCTGCAGTACTGAAACTTGGGACAATTGCAGCACTTTTCATATACAACTAGTCAAAAAGTATTGGTTGACATTGAACAAATTTCCAAAACCAACGTAATGCCTACTTAAAAAAGAAAAACAATAAATCTAATTTTTTTTAACTTAATTTGTTTAATAAAACTAATTATATTTTTTAATGTATTCTAATGTGATAGCTGAGAGTCATAGACATGATTTCAGTTGACACTTGTGTTTGATAATCGTTTTTGACGATTTTGGATTTATTTTACACATAATTCAATATTTTTTTCTCCCTTCCTATTTATGCTACGATGCTGAGACTTGGACCAGATGAAACCCTTTTCATATACAACACGTCAAAAAAGTTTGAAATTGAACCAGTTTTCATTTTTGGCATATTTGAATCTAATGGCCCCTTATATAAGCAACACGCTGACAGGGGGAGTCTCAAATAATCACATACAAGGGTAGCTAGCATCCTGGAAGAAGTGTCTAGCAACCCACTAGCAGCACTTATCAGCAGATGGACACTACTGTCGACTTGTAACTCCTCTTGGCCAGATCCCGGGTACGTCGGTCCATACTCTCCATAACACTACACAAGTCCAGCAGCCAATACACTGCTACTATCGACGGCGGCCACTTTATCTTCTCACAGGACCAACTTAGAAGTTCTGGACTGCACAAGGTGAACTGCTGTCCACAGCCCAATCACGTCACCTCTGTGAACATGAACGTCATTAGCCAGACAGACAGTATACTGGGTGACCTTAGGATAGCATCCTTCACCAGGAAACTTGTGAAATGTAATCAGATGTGCACTCTAGATGGCGTTGATATCGTTCCTACTCCCACCAGAGGTCGTCATCACCGACCTCCCCTCCTAACTGAGGTATGAAATGGGAGTCGTTCATGGATGCCACACCTCAGCTGACAGATGGCATTGCCCGCGTCTCACCAAATACCTGGAAGTTGGAGAGCAGATCCATAGATAGGGCCGAAATCGTCACTCCATACTCCAATGGTGTTGATGCCGTAACACTGTCCATCCAGACAGCGAGAGTGTCTGGAGAATAGTGAAAATAAAGTGCAGAGGCACCACTAGTCTCAAGACACTAGAGAAACTAGATCCTTTGAAGCTTGCAGAAAATTAAGTGGCCCAAATACTTCCCACCCCTGCAGCTCCAGTACAGAACATTCGTCCTATACAAAGTGCTGTACAACAGTGCAAAATGAAATTTAACAATATTACTATAATTCTGAAAAGGAGGAATGAGGTTTCTGGCAGCCCTAAATATTGGACTCCGACCCATGTTTCTCCACCCCGGAATTATGCGGGAAATTTCCACATCAAATACAAACTCTAATGTAACAGCCAAAAATGTTGTTAATTTACATTAGTAAATTTCAGATAATATAAATTTTTAATAATTTAATATAAAATCCACCTGCCTTAGAGCTGGTTACATGATAAAAATGAATCTACTAAATTAGTTATATAGTAAATAGTTAGATTTAACCTCAAACCCATTCATCCTCCTGAATGGGAAGAACACCCACATGGGTGCACCCATTGGGCACTATTAATTAGCCAAATTTCACGGTTCACACCTGTACTTTACATGTTATTATCAGTTTTTATGGTGTAACTTGCCAGCAGGTAAATTGTGATCCCTGAGAGGACCAGTTGAGCTGTACCATCCCAGGACCACCAGACGCCATTAATGCCTGTCCACCAGGGGTGTCCGAGGGTGTCTGGTGTTGGATGACCAGCCAACACTACTGAAACAGATGACCCCAATTTAAATATTCTTTAACGTAAAGTAGTTTAACACATTAGTAATTATATCTACCATTTAATTACGGTAACATTAATATAAGAAACCGCCCCAAAATGTGTGAATGGAAGTTTACTAGTGACAATAAATTACAAAATACTGTCTGATTAGAAGTAATAAATATAATTAAATAAATTAAATACAGTTTTTTAAATTAATATACAAATAAATCACCTGTAGATTTTCCCACAAGGGGGAAGAGAAGGAAAGAATGGAAGGGACATGGGGGTAAGATGCCCCTGAGCACAGCCGGGTACCCCTCTTAGTGTATAATATGTACTAAATATTTATAATCTATCTTTATCTATGAAATACAATGTCTATCTGAGGTTGGAGGCCAGATGCTTGTGGCTAGCCTCATTAATATTTAAAGGACTAATGGTTATTTTATTGAGTGTCATTGGAGGCCCCGTGTCCCCCCTGAAGGGGGGCGCACCTCCCCAATTCCGCTCCTTCACGACGTTTGACGATGTGAAATGTTCAGCACCTAACCCATAGACTTTAGCATTATTAAAAAATAAGTGAAATCCATTATTGAGTTTCTAAACATATAACAGATTTGCATTATAGGCACAACCTTTGGTTACGGCGATGGTGATAGTGTAGGAAGAATGTCTTGAGTAGACAATTGGACATTGTCCAATCTAATATACCAACTAAATTATCACCCGATTTTTGCCCGAAACGCTATGCGTGCTAGTGGCTTTACAAGATTGTAATTTCAAATTAAACTCTATGTTCTCTCTTAACCCCTCAATGTACCTTCTTGTATATAAATAAATAAATAAATAAATAAATAAATAAATAAATAAATATCGTTCGTTTATATTAGAGTCAGGTTAGCATCCATCAACACTAATAACGTTACTACTCCCACCAGATGCTGTTCCCAGGTGTCACTAGAGAACACAATAGCCTTCACATGTGCTGTGCACTGAAAATTATCCTGCAAGAAAGTGTTTATCAAGCTTTGGGATGTTGCTAATGCTTTCCTCAAACCTAATGCCATCACGAGGTTCTGGTAAGCAACATCTGGCACCACCAATGCCGGAACCTCCTTAGAGAGTTCTGTAAACGGAATTTGACAATTACCTCATGACAATTACCTCATGACAATTACCTCATGAAAATTCGAGTTTCAACACGAACCGAGCACTTCCTACTTGGTCTATACACCCATTCAACTGAGATGAAGACTTCTCCTGAGAAATCTCAGAGACTTTTCAGGAGAAGTCCATGAGTTTTTGTCGATCGTAGGCACGGAGACCTCCAGGAAGTCTTGCTGGGTCGTGTTATTCCGTGATGAAATGGGAATTCAGTTTCCTTCTGAAAAACTTTCCTTTTCTCAGAGAGCGTGACAACACACCAGACGACGCTCAGCTGCGTGGGAATGTCCTCAGATTGCATTACAATACATGTCAGGAGCTCTTGTTCCACCCGTATTCAGTCACATACTTATGTACATGAAATGCTATAATTGTTTTGGAATTATAGAAAACCATGTTAAATTCTCCATGAATTGTTATAATACCGCATGTTCGTTAATGAACAGTTTAGTGTGGCGCTAGAGAGGGAGGCGGGTGTTGGCGGCACCAACCCGGCCTCATAATAGAACGTCGTATTTTGACGTATATTCTACCTAAGGCCAAAAAAATTGTCGTACTAGAAAATGGTAGCGCCTTGCAAAATTGCCATCCTGTCCCGTTTTCTGTTTTGGGTCCACTGGTAGGTTAGGATAAGGGCACTTTAGTACGACAGTTTCTTGACGTTGGGGAACCTTAGGAGGACGGGCTGGGTTGTGAACGTCCTGGTGCTAATTACGTCTTTTTCGCTACTATTCTCTACGGCTAAAGAAGGCCGTGATGGAAAAAGGAAGAATTTAAAATATATATTTTTTTCCAAAACAGCAAGTTAAGGGTCCTCTGGTAGGTTAGGAGGGCAGGAAGTTCTCATAAGGTTTCAAAACATCATGAAAACCGTTAAGTGAAAGTTTCCTCTCCTAACCTAACCTAACAGCCTAAGCCAGACGACCCAAAACAGAAAACGGAACAGTACGTCACGTTCGTGAGCCGATTTAATTTTTAATTCCCTCGATTTTTAACCTGAGTGCGCGCATACGCTTGAAAAGCGACGTATTATGTAGGAGGACAGGTTGCCTCTGAGACCACACAGTCCCTGCGTCCCATTATACCCATGGAGCCACAATCTACATATTCCATCTCGCTGCTCAGATGAGGCTCAGAGATGAGGCTGAAGGGTTATGTGGGAAGGGAAACCGGACATGATATCCTATAACTGGATATAAGATATCTTATATAAAGCTATAAGATATTTCAAAAATCCTTCAAAATATCGCATGAAGATGGGCACCTTGAGAGCTGATGGTGTGAGAAGGGGAACTATGATAAAGAGCCGTCAAGCACTAACGACTGTGTGAGAGGGAACGATTTATCAGTAGTTACTGAGGTCGTTAGACTCGTCTGAGGTCTTGTGAGTGCTGGTATAGTGAGTGCTGGTATAGTGAGTGCTGGTATAGTGAGTACATGTTAGTGAGTACATGTTAGTGAGTACATGTTAGTGAGTGCAGGTCAGTGAGTACATGTTAGTGAGTGCAGGTCAGTGAGTGCATGTTAGTGAGTGCAGGTATAGTGAGTACATGTTAGTGAGTGCAGGTATAGTGAGTACATGTTAGTGAGTGCAGGTATAGTGAGTACATGTTAGTGAGTGCAGGTATAGTGAGTACATGTTAGTGAGTGCAGGTATAGTGAGTACATGTTAGTGAGTGCAGGTATAGTGAGTACATGTTAGTGAGTGCAGGTATAGTGAGTACATGTTAGTGAGTGCAGGTATAGTGAGTACATGTTAGTGAGTGCAGGTAAAAACTTAAAATATACTGCTTTTCAGGATTACAACCATGGATTACTGATCACAGTCATCCCGAAATACACACTGACCCGCAGGAAAGCTGAATACAGTAACTAACAATGGAACTTTGTGTCAAAAAATAATAAAAGTGGGACCACGTGAGAGCCAGTGCCACCAGACTCATGTGTACAGGCATATCGGCGATATATATCAAATATACCGAACAGTGATATGGAGAACAGTGATATGGAGAACAGTGATATGGAGAACAGTGATATGGAGAACAGTGATATGGAGAACAGTGATATGGAGAACAGTGATATGGAGAACAGTGATATGGAGAACAGTGATATGGAGAACAGTTATATGGAGAACAGTGATATGGAGAACAGTGATATGGAGAACAGTGATATGGAGAACAGTGATATGGAGAACAGTGATATGGAGAACAGTGATATGGAGAACAGTTATATGGAGAACAGTGATATGGAGAACAGTGATATGGAGAACAGTGATATGGAGAACAGTGATATGGAGAACAGTGATATGGAGAACAGTGATATGGAGAACAGTGATATGGAGAACAGTGATATGGAGAACAGTGATATGGAGAACAGTGATATGGAGAACAGTGATATGCAGAACAGTGAAGTGGAACGTGTTACACAACACATAAATAAGTGGAAAGTGTCGGTGAATTACACATAGAAAAACTAGAAATGTAAAATTATGACACCAGAAGATACTACACTGTGTAGTGTTTACACCACAGTCCACGAGGCCTACATAGAGTAGGGACGTCCCTCAGTGATAGTATACTCCCTCAGTGATAGTATACTCCCTCAGTGATGGTATACTCCCCTCAGTGATAGTATACTCCCTCAGTGATAGTATACTCCCTCAGTGATAGTATACTCCCTCAGTGATAGTATACTCCCTCAGCGATAGTATACTCCCTCAGTGATAGTTTACTCCCTCAGTGATAGTATACTCCCTCAGTGATAGTATACTCCCTCAGTGATAGTATACTCCCTCAGTGATAGTATACTCCCTCAGTGATGGTATACTCCCCTCAGTGATAGTATACTCCCTCAGTGATAGTATACTCCCTCAGTGATAGTATACTCCCTCAGCGATAGTATACTCCCTCAGTGATAGTATACTCCCTCAGTGATAGTATACTCCCTCAGTGATAGTATACTCCCTCAGTGATAGTATACTCCCTCAGTGAAAGTATACTCCCTCGGTGATAGTATACTCCCTCAGTGATAATATACTCCCTCAGCGATAATATACTCCCTCAGTGATAGTATACTCCCTCAGTGATAGTATACTCCCTCAGTGATAGTATACTCCCTCAGTGATAGTATACTCCCTCAGTGATAGTATACTCCCTCAGTGATGGTATACTCCCTCAGTGATGGTATACTCCCTCAGTGATAGTATACTCCTTCAGTGATGGTATACTCCCCTCAGTGATAGTATACTCCATCAGTGATAGTATACTACCTCAGTGATAGTATACTCCCTCAGTGATAGTATACTCCCTCAGTGATAGTATACTCCCTCAGTGAAAGTATACTCCCTCAGTGATAATATACTCCCTCAGCGATAATATACTCCCTCAGTGATAGTATACTCCCTCAGTGATAATATACTCCCTCAGTGATAGTATACTCCCTCAGTGATAGTATACTCCCTCGGTGATAGTATACTCCATCAGTGATAGTATACTCCCTCAGTGATAGTATACTCCCTCAGTGATAGTATACTCCCTCAGTGATAGCATACTCCCTCAGTGATAGTATACTACCTCAGTGATAGTATACTCCCTCAGTGATAGTATACTCCCTCAGTGATAGTATACTCCCTCAGTGATAGTATACTCCCTCAGTGATAGTATACTCCCTCAGTGAAAGTATACTCCCTCAGTGATAGTATACTCCCTCAGTGATAATATACTCCCTCAGCGATAATATACTCCCTCAGTGATAGTATACTCCCTCAGTGATAGTATACTCCCTCAGTGATAGTATACTCCCTCAGTGATAGTATACTCCCTCAGTGATAGTATACTCCCTCAGTGATAGTATACTCCCTCAGTGATAGTATACTCCCTCAGTGATAGTATACTCCCTCAGTGATAGTATACTCCCTCAGTGATAGTATACTCCCTCAGTGATAGTATACTCCCTCAGTGATAGTATACTCCTCAGTCATAGTATACTCCCTCAGTGATAGTATACTCCCTCAGTGATAGTATACTCCCTCAGTGATAGTATACTCCCTCATTGATAGTATACTCCCTCAGTGATGGTATACTCCCTCAGTGATAGTATACTCCTTCAGTGATGGTATACTCCCCTCAGTGATAGTATACTCCATCAGTGATAGTATACTCCCTCAGTGATAGTATACTCCCTCAGTGATAGTATACTCCCTCAGTGATAGTATACTCCCTCAGTGATAGTATACCCCCTCAGTGATAGCATACTCCCTCATTGATAGTATACTCCCTCAGTGATAGTATACTCCCTCAGTGATAGTATACTCCCTCAGTGATAGCATACTCCCTCATTGATAGTATACTCCCTCAGTGATGGTATACTCCCTCAGTGATAGTATACTCCTTCAGTGATGGTATACTCCCCTCAGTGATAGTATACTCCCTCAGTAATAGTATACTCCCTCAGTGATAGTATACTCCCTCAGTGATAGTATACTCCCTCAGTGATAGTATACTCCCTCAGTGATAGTATACTCCCTCGGTGATAGTATACCCCTTCAGTGATAGCATACTCCCTCATTGATAGTATACTCCCTCAGTGATGGTATACTCCCTCAGTGATAGTATACTCCTGCAGTGATGGTATACTCCCCTCAGTGATAGTATACTCCCTCAGTGATAGTATACTCCCTCAGTGATAGTATACTCCCTCAGTGATAGTATACTCCCTCAGTGATAGTATACTCCCTCAGTGATAGTATACTCCCTCAGTGATAGTATACTCCCTCAGTGATAGTATACTCCCTCAGTGATAGTATACTCCCTCAGTGATAGTATACTCCCTCAGTGATAGTATACTCCCTCAGTGATAGTATACTCCCTCAGTGATAGTATACTCCTCAGTCATAGTATACTCCCTCAGTGATAGTATACTCCCTCAGTGATAGTATACTCCCTCAGTGATAGTATACTCCCTCATTGATAGTATACTCCCTCGGTGATGGTATACTCCCTCAGTGATAGTATACTCCTTCAGTGATGGTATACTCCCCTCAGTGATAGTATACTCCATCAGTGATAGTATACTCCCTCAGTGATAGTATACTCCCTCAGTGATAGTATACTCCCTCAGTGATAGTATACTCCCTCAGTGATAGTATACCCCCTCAGTGATAGCATACTCCCTCATTGATAGTATACTCCCTCAGTGATAGTATACTCCCTCAGTGATAGTATACTCCCTCAGTGATAGCATACTCCCTCATTGATAGTATACTCCCTCAGTGATGGTATACTCCCTCAGTGATAGTATACTCCTTCAGTGATGGTATACTCCCCTCAGTGATAGTATACTCCCTCAGTAATAGTATACTCCCTCAGTGATAGTATACTCCCTCAGTGATAGTATACTCCCTCAGTGTTAGTATACTCCCTCAGTGATAGTATACTCCCTCGGTGATAGTATACCCCTTCAGTGATAGCATACTCCCTCATTGATAGTATACTCCCTCAGTGATGGTATACTCCCTCAGTGATAGTATACTCCTGCAGTGATGGTATACTCCCCTCAGTGATAGTATACTCCCTCAGTGATAGTATACTCCCTCAGTGATAGTATACTCCCTCAGTGATAGTATACTCCCTCAGTGATAGTATACTCCCTCAGTGATAATATACTCCCTCAGTGATAGTATACTCCCTCAGTGATAGTATACTCCTCAGTGATAGTATACTCCCTCAGTTATAGTATACTCCCTCAGTTATAGTATACTCCCTCAGTGATAGTATACTACCTCAGTGATAGTATACTCCCTCAGTGATAGCATACTCCTTCAGTGATAGTATACTCCCTCAGTGATAGTATACTCCCTCAGTGATAGTATACTCCCTCAGTGATAGTATACTCCTCAGTGAAAGTATACCCCCTCAGTGATAGCATACTTCCTCATTGATAGTATACTCCCTCAGTGATGGTATACTCCCTCAGTGATAGTATACTCCCCTCAGTGATGGTATACTCCCCTCAGTGATAGTATACTCCATCAGTGATAGTATACTCCCTCAGTGATAGTATACTCCCTCAGTGATAGTATACTCCCTCAGTGATAGTATACTCCCTCAGTGATAGTATACTCCCTCAGTGATAGTATACTCCCTCAGGGATAGTATACTCATCAGTGAAAGTATACCCCCTCAGTGATAGCATACTCCCTCATTGATAGTATACTCCCTCAGTGATAGTATACTCCCTCAGTGATAGTATACTCCCTCAGTGATAGTATACTCCCTCAGTGATAGTATACTCCCTCAGTGATAGTATACTCCCTCAGTGATAGTATACTCCCTCAGTGATAGTATACTCCCTCAGTGATAGTATACTCCCTCAGTGATAGTATACTCCCTCAGTGATAGTATACTCCTTCAGTGATAGTATACTCCCTCAGTGATAGTATACTCCCTCAGTGATAATATACTGGCAATATATATTGTAATACGGGAATGTGGATTTAGGAATTAGTAATAGAGTAAGTGAACACCATTGCATGCCGGAGAGTAAGCAGGAAATCCATTAGGGTAATACAGATAAATAATCAGTGTTATAAGTGAAGGAACTTACAACCGGTGGCATCCATCCCGCGACCAGGGACAACAAGGGACAATTACTAGAGTCAACGGGATAAATAGATAATATACCACAAATAGGGGACCAGACGACCTCTACACCACAACCCCAACATGGAGGTGTGTGGAGGCTGCTTTAAGTCACTTAGGAAGAGTGTTGTAGGGATTGTATGTAACATTTCTAACATAAGATTTCACCTGAGTTGTACAGGATTACCTACACAATATGCAAACAGACAAGGTACCTACTGGATCTGTCACAATGATAGACGGGTATGGGAAAAACATCACCAAACTAATGAATGACATTACTGAAGCGCATAGGCTACCTTTCACACAAAAGTTACCCGAAATATATGCAGAGTATGTAAAGACAGCAACGAACACTGAACACAACCCAGGGACTGAGAGTTTATAGGGCCAAATTAGCACTGTGGATGGAAAGTGAGTAAAGGTACACAAAAATGAAAGCAATATTGCAGTGCGAACTGGTAATCTGAATAAGATGAGAAAGACGAGAACAAAAATGAGAAAGATGAAAGCAACAAGGAGAAAGATAAGGGCAATACCGAGAAAGAATGCGGAAACGAGAAAATTAGAACAAAAACACAGAGGTAGCCAAGGCATGCACAGGTACAAACAATCAGAATACAAGCACAGATGAAAATATTTGCAGGTACTATGCAAAATGACAGTGTAGATATGGGCCCAGAGGCACGGAATGCTCATTCATGCATTCCCGAAAATGCCGAAACATGTTAGGGAAAGGCAGATGTCGTTTTGGTACAGAGTGTAGATATTTCCACCCTAAGCTATGCAAACTCTCAGTTAATGAGAGGAAATGCTACGACCTTAATTG